TGTTCCAGATGAGCGTCGCCATATCTCGCTTCCAAGGCCTCAAGAAGCTGCTCATAGGTCACTTTCTTACCGAGAGCTTCCAACACAGTTAAGGCTTGGTCACGCAGGCCTAGGGTGAGTGCAGTCATGGCTTGGCTTTTATTCCAGCCGTTCGCCTCCATGACGGCCTCGAACTGGATTTTGTAGGCCGACCAGGAAGAGGTCCCGTCGAACGGCGGCACTTTGAATCCACGTAGCGAAGGTGCTGCAGCTACTACGGGAGCTGTAGTTCCATCCCCAAGTTTGATGTCGTTTAGTGATTTCTTCATGTCAGCCACTACGTTGTCAACCCGATTGTTTACTTGGTCGATTCGGGTTTCAGCTTTCTCGATTCGGTTTTCAGCTTTCACGATTTGGGTTTCGGCTTCCGACAGGCGGTTGTCATGCTGAGCAACCCTATCCTTCACCTCCTTTATCTCCTTCCCGAAGGTAGCGTGAAGGTCCTTCATGAGGAGCATCTGCTCTTCCAACCGACGGGCCTGTTCCTCCTGTCCGTCCCGCAGCTGCTCTTCCAATCGGCGTGCCTGTTCCGCCTGCTGGCGAGCCTGTTCCTCCTGCTGCTCTTTCAACAGACGGGCCTGTTCCTCTCGTCCGCGCTGCAGCTGCTCCTGTAGCATGGCCATCAGAGCACCTAAGTCAGGTGCTGCAGATGTAGGAGCTACTGACGGGCCCGCAGTCTCCGTGGCTAGCTGTTGGCCCTCCGACGTCTGCGGCGTTGCACCACCAAACCTCCTCTGGTCCGTCTCCTGCTGGCGTTGACTTCGGGTACGGACACCCTCCGTTTCCTCCTTAGGTAAAATCGGCATGATTTAATCCCACTTCTGACACCAATTGTTACGAGCTTGAGGTTCGTGACAATAAAAATTGCCGATAAAATTACCTAAATTAACACTTTAATTTACTTTACACAATTAAAGTTAAAACACTAATAATTTAAACACATTAATTCACTTAATTCCACTCCGAAGCTTCGCTTGTTTCGCCCAAATCAACACTGCCTCGATCGCATCTTGCAGCGCCTATATATTTGAATTAGCAAAGAAATATCCAGAATGTTCAAGTAAACACGCGGAAGGTACCGAGCGTTCGAGTTTCGACTAGGCGCTGTCAGTTGAGCGATTTGTGATGTCATTTTCTCAATGCTCCCCTCGCTCTCGTTCCTGACACTAGATGGCGCTAGTTGACTTATTCATGCAACAGTATGTATGGCCGGACATTAGGAAGGATAGCCGCAACTGGGTGCGCTCGTGTAACTTATACCGGAGATTGAAAAAATCAAAACCGATCGAAAAACGCACACGCTCTTATCCAGGACTTTAGGTATCCTTCCTACGGCCCGTTTCTTCCATGGTTAATTTCCATGTGTAGTTTTGCCAATGTCAAGTAATAGAAAATCATTCTTTAAAATAATTTGTTTAAAAAACTTCCCCACAATATGTTGATGCATCTCATTGCGGAGGTTTTAGGAGATTTCGACCATAACTTAAGTCAGCAGACGGTCGATGACAACAGTACGTATCTCAAGTTCTTAAGGCTTAAAAATAACTAATGGCTTATACCAACATAGTACTAGGGATGGGCCGAATATGGATTTCACCGAATACGAATATTCGGCCGAATGTTCGGTAAAATTTTTACTGAACCGAATATTCGTCCGAACATTATTCGGGGAGATAACCTCGGGACCTAACCAATTTATGTCGAAACTTGTTACCGTAAAGCGCGCGGGATTAGCGCCGGACCCTGCCTCTCGCTCCCCGCCACACCTGACATGTTATTGCATCATCTATAGTCAACCAAATCTAAGAAATACCTTTAGACGTTTCACATTAATCATTTCGCAATAACTTTGCATAAGCGTTCTGACACGATTTAAAATAACCGTTTACGTAACTCCGAAGATTTATAAAATTATCTATTTTTCGTTACAATGTATATAGTTTTTTATCACTAATTTAAATTCCAATCTTTGAAAAAAAGCAAAATATTAAAAAAACCAGTATCAACTTTTTTACTTGACGTCGTTTCAATGACATGTCGCTATCTTATTTTTACCGTAGTGTTTGGATGATTAAAATTCATTCTTATGCGAATAATCGGAAGAATGTTAAAATAATCGGTAAAAATATTAAAATAAACGAATCATTAATTTTTTAAATGTATTATTTGTTTAATTAAATTTTTATTTTTAAAATTTCTTTAAGTTACATAAATCATGAATAAAAGAAGTTTTTTTTTACTTTGTCAACGTAAAGGAGACAAAGTAAAAAAAATAAACTTCTTTATTAGATTAGATTTTGGGCTCACTAGACATTTTAACGTAACTTAGTAGTATTACACATAAAAAAGATACCAATTTACTATAGTAAAGGGCCTAAAGATTTTATAAAAATCTAACCCGAATCATGAAATCTGTAAAAAAAAGTGTTTTGATATTCTTGTACTGGGTAATGTAATATATTGAATAATAAAAAGATAAATATATTTGAAAATGATAATTTATTATATACTTACATATATTATGTAGTGGTATATTATTTATTTATTACTAAAAAGAAATACCACTAAAACTTGTTTTTAATACGATTTCTAAAAATTAATAGTAATATCATGTAATATGGTTCAAAGTGACCGTGGAACGAAACGTATTACTACCCCCACTTTGTCATTGACTTCCGGGTAGTCGGGTACGGGTACGGGTATTACTATACGGTATTGACCATTTCGGCATTTCTGTATATATTACTCTACTCTATGGCATTGACTTTCGTCACGTTGCAGCTTTTTTTATTTATTTACTCATCTTCTTCATCATATTGTGTGTATAGATAAATTTTTTGTATTTATTTACTCATCATCATCATACAACGTGTACATAGATAATTTTAATTGATAATTTCTCAGTATTCCCATTAAATACGGTAAAACTAATATCACTATTCTAATGTATAGATTATAGGAAATAAATCGACATGCATTTCATTAAGCTACGCCACAATTCGAGGTGACCATTCTCCATACAAAAAAATTGTCCCCTCTGTATGAAAAAAAACTCATATACAAGGCCGCCGCCAGCTGAAAAACCACTACGTAATTTCAATCTCCCGCTACTTCGGGAGCTTACTGTGTGTAATTTTGTGATTTTGTGTTTGTCTTCTTATTTTGTGACTCGGCTCGGTAACTTTTTGGACTGTTTCTTCTATATTCGTTGAAATATGTTGCTTATGTCGCAAAGGATGATTGGGCAAAAGTGGTAGAAAAAACAAAAAATAATAATTTTGGATGACTTTGAAAGAGACATTAATATTTACTAATTAAAAAAAGAGATATTAATTGAAAATGAAATAAAAATTAATCTAAACAACGACAGCTCAACTAGTTGTACTGAAAGTGATTGAATAAATTTATTTTTAATCTAATTTCAATCTTAAATTTTTATAACTTTGCCTGTAGAAAAAAGCATTAACAACAAATACGAAGAAACAGATAAATATTGTGATTTAAATTATCCGTTTTGACGTGACAACGTCTTATAAATTGGTTTGCCGGGTGACACTTCAAGAAACTGCGTTACGCTCCGCTCACGTTATGCGCTCACAATGAGAGCGAGTGAGAGGCACGCGTCCCTTCCACTCGGGCATGGTTAGCCCGCCTAAGAGCGAGAGAGACAGACATAAAAAGTGAAAGGCACGCGTCCCTTCCACTCGAGCACAGTTAGCCCGCCTAAGAGCGAGAGAGACAGAGCGAGAGAGAGAGAGTGAGAGAGTCGTTGTCACGTAAAACTTTCGCCGGTATACCGACTTTACAGGCAACCAATATTTTTTAATTTATTCTGGTATTATTCAAACCAAACTGTAAATGATTACTAACTCTAAATAATTAATATCGTTTTTTTAGGAATCGAATATTGTACGTTCCCATTTTTTGGTTGGCATACTTGGTGCAATAATTCTGACAGCTGTCAAAATGTATTTCTTAGATTTGTTTGACTATAGTACTAAGCAAATTGCCTGCACATGCTTATGTTTTGACTATTCTTGTGATAAAAAAAGTATTTAGTTGTTTTATTCTTAGTTAAAGTTATAGCATATATACCTACGTCCCACTCCTGGGCACAGGACTCCGCTCATTTTTGAGAGGGTTTTAGGGCAAGGAATTGTCCGCAATATGCTTGTTGGCGAACTTCACATGTCTTCGAAATTTTTTTTTCTTATTTCTCAGACAAGCAGGTTTCCTCACAATGTTTTCCTTCACCGCTGAGCACGTCAATCAGCACTTAAAATTGCAATTAACAATTTCATTGATGCCGGCGGGGATCGTACCCGGTTTGCTCGTGTACTGTGAAATTTACAGCGAGCGCTAACCATCTGAGCTACCACGGCTCTTTATTCTTGGTGAAGAAGAGCCGTAAGAATTTTATTCTTAATGAAAATTGATAATAATATAATAAAATGAGCGGCAGAAAATTTACTATTTGTACTTATTTTAGAGAAACTGACGACCAAAGTAAGGTGAAACGTATTAATGTAAAGTAATGTTTGTTTGTTTAATTCGGTCTCATATACTGCACTGAACCACTGTGCCCGGTTGGGCCGTGAGCCGGCGTCGTGTGGCTTCATAGTGCACCATACAACACTGACGACCGGACGTAGACTCGGCTTGATGCCGGGCTTAGCTCCGGCGAAAAGCCGTCTCGTGTGCATGAGGCCTTAAAGGAGGAAATCCTAGTGTGGCGGGAAGTTTTAAAAAAGGAAAAATAAAAAAGTTTACGATTTGATTTATATATTTAGTTTGGGTTAGCTTAAATAAAAATTTACAAATACTGGTAACAAAAAGTTAGTTTTAATATTTAATCATTCCTTAAAACTCGATCAGTAGAGTAGAGATTTTTGATAATCTCTAGTAAATTATTATCGTAATAATAGTTACTTATTATACCAAACGTTGACTTTGTAGGTTGGTTACTCTCGTTGAGCGGCTTGGCGCAGTGCTTCGGTGCCGAGGCGATAGTACCGCCAGCGTGCCGCCGTCATGTCCACCGCTCCACGCGCCTCGTAGAACGAACGCGCTGGGTTCCAATCCAGCACGTGTAGCTCCAATCTCGCACAGCCCTGCTCCAGTGCCTGCTGTAGTGTACAAGCTCATGCCATTCCATTACACCCAATAAAAGTTTACGCAATACGGATATGACGTAATAAAATAGTTGCATCAAATGTGTACTTAATATAAGAAATGATTATTTAAATAAGATAAAAGTCCACAGCTGAACAAAGGATTGCCGCATAGGGGGGATTTAGCCATAGTTGTCACGCTTGGCGGGCGAATTGACAACTGCAGTAATTTATAATTTTAAGTTGTTATCTTTTTTTATAAAATCAGAGTAAAAAAGCGAACAGATAGCAAACCTGATGGCAAGTGGATGCTGTGCCCCATAATCACGTCCCATGTCTATACATCTACATCTAACCTCGATTAAGAATCAAAATGCAAATGCGTTGTAACACCTGAGGACTAAGATGGAATGCCTCGTTTGCAGTAAAAAAGAGCCTCTCGATCTTTACACTCACCATACGAAACACAGCAGCATTATTACAGCAGTATTCTGTGAGGGCGTGGTGCTTCCTTGGTTGAGCCGACCCATTCGTGCAACAGCCATAATATAGCTGCAGTGTGGCTCTACCACGTATTGGGTTTAGTTTTAATTTTATTGATTATAGGATCCCAAGCAGGTGGTAGTACCCAGCCTCCTTCTCTATTGAAATTAGGATGTTTTTTAATTTCAATAGCCTCACGTATCATCCAACGTTGCAACGTTGCAACGTTGCAACGTTCCGGGAAGTCTGCAGTTTGTGATCATATCCTAGACGGCCCCAACCATTACATCAGATTTGATAGACCACAAATCCTCGCGAAAGAACACCGATTCCTACCAAGGATGATACGTGAGGCTATTGAAATTAAAAAACATCCTAATTTCAATAGAGAAGGAGGCTGGGTACTACCACCTGCTTGGGATCCTATAATCAATAAAATTAAAACTAAACCCAAGCATACCACTGCAAGACCTCAGGACATAGTCAGTTCATTTTGCATAGATCGGACCATAAACAATAATTAAAAAAGCTGAAGGTTCTCCGGGTTTAACAATGACATCGGGACGTCAGTCATCTCAGTCCCCCGTGACCATGGGTTGCTGGAAAGCGCCCGAAACGTCGGGAATTAAAAATAAAAAGTAAAAATAAACGCGATAAAATCCGTAAAAGTAGTTTTAATCATGTGCAATGTTCGCGTAAATATAAGAAATCATAACGCTACGTTAATAAATAGGTTATTGTACTGGATCTATATACGCTGTAATTATACTGGCTCTCTATACGCTGTAATTGTACTGGATCTCTATACGCTGTAATCGTACTGGGTTTCTATAAGCTTAAGGCCAAAGCACAGCACTGCAAGCACTGGTATTTCACGGCAGAAATAGGTAAGAGGGTGGAGGCATCCCCAAACGGACTCGGAGGCAGAAAAGAAGCCCTTTCACCAAGTTACTTATCGTCTTCCTTCTTCACCAATTATACAACAGTTAAACTTACTAGTAAAAAAAAGGGTTTTCTTGTAACGAGTCATTCCATCTTCGCCCTCAGTGGTGATAACACATATGTATTTTCATTGATTTTTTGCTTTGAAGACGCCCAGATTGTGTTAGGACGGAAAGACAGACACCGATAAATTATTTCATTATTTCACTCCTTTGCTTTACGCATTATAAAATAAAAAGCAAACCTTTAGTTCTAATGCGTGGAATATCAGCAACAAAGTGGTGAAGACCCCATTGAGTTATACAAGACTAGAGGAGCAAACCACATTGCCGCGCGTCGAACAAAGTGTAACCACTATCCAAATGCGACGACGTAGCTTTGAAATCATTAAAATTTTTAAGTAAACATATATCTGTCTCACTTACACAAGTCGCGGAAAACAATATCGTCCCTAAGATTAGATAAAGATAGACACACAAACATGCAGTGGCGGGTTGGTGTTGCATACTTTATGAAATTTTACCCAAAATGAGCAATATAAAGGAGTTTTTTTTTAAAGTTGCAGTAAATTGTTTTTATTTTAAATTTGTATATTTTCTTATTAGATGAACAGAAGTAAGCATAAGTAATGAAATAAAATATGTTTTTATATATTATTTTTATTGTACTAATAAATCAAACAAAAAATAAAGCAAATAAAAAAAACAATTTTAGGCTCATTTTGTGCTTTCGCGGTGTTTCAGTTATTTCATCTATCTCTTCATCGGTTTCCATAACATCAAAATCCATATTTTCTTCTATTAAAAGTTCTACCGGCTTTTCAAAATGAGGTTCGTCCTGAAAAATATCCATTAATTATTGTAGTCAAAATAGCATTATGATTAACCTGATAACTAAGATAAAAACATTTAGTTTGCATTACACATTGCTATAAAAGTTTTAAATAAATAAATAAATTATTTATTTGCCACAAATCTTTTAACAATTTAAATGGAACCCTGGCTTCTAAACTAGTTGTAATAACTGTATATGTGAGAAACCAGTACCTGTACAAACCAGTGCTTTCAATAAAATTTGGTTAACAATTAACTAACACGCAGTAAACGAAAATCAAGGAATGAGAAAAAGCATTAGTCGTGTGCACAACGTGTGTGTGTGTGTGTGTGTGTGTTTGAATGAGTGAATATTGAGTTTAAGAAAAGGTATTTTTGACAAATATTACCTATGTTGTGACAATATGAATTAACTACCTTATTAAACATTTACTTACTACAATCATTGGAATTGCTTCGTTAGACAAATGAACACGGCCGCAATCGCTTTTTGGTTCAAGTATGTCTTGATTCCGGAAGTGCTTAGAACAAATGACAGTAGATTTAGAAGGCACCCAGTCAGTCTCCTTTCTTAACAACCTTATTATTTCCACCCACTTCTTACGGCGTGCTGCATCTTTAGGTACACTGCAAATTTATTAATATAATATAAAATAATAAAATATAATTAATAGACCATTCATGAATAAACTAAAATAAGAATAATTATTTTGTATAAAGGTTGAAACATAGTTTTTATTTTTAAGCAATCAATTTTACTTGTTTATTTTAAAACAAAATTAACTTATTCCATAAATTATACAGTCTCCCATTAATGTGGAAAAATCACAAAGGCGGAAAAGTGGCAGCATTGAACCTAAATTGCAATATTCGATATTTTATTTATTTTTTTAGTGTTTTAAACGTTAATATGAATATATAAATTAAAACTTACGTATGGAAAGTGATTCCGCTTGATTTATTATGTTTTTGTGACCTTGAAACGCATTCTTTCACTACGCATTTACCCATTTTTTGGTGTGAATCGTTCGGCTTAACTCGGACGGCGTCACCTTGAACACTGAACCGACGTTCGCTGAGTATAAGGCTGTGGCCTTATGTGAAGTGACAACGCTTTGGCGCGGAAATTACTTATCTAGTGTAACATATAAATCAATGGAAGACCCGCCGATGGCCTAAAAGTCCGATGGTGGAAAAGAGAGGGAGGAATTAAAGCACAGAATTCTTGCGCACACTCTTCGAAAGGTAGGCAAAAGTAAAGGAAACTAAACAGACTAGCTAGTGTGTCTGCGATAGTGAGTAACAAAGAGTTAATCAATTACGATTTTTTTGAATACAGATTATAATTTTCAAACCACTGGCGCAACGTCAACATAAGTTTCTATCGGCTTACCTTAGCGACGGCGTTGAAGAGGCGCTCTCCTATGCCTTGTCGGCGCATGCGTTCCCGCACGTAGAGATCCTCCAACATAAGGCCGTGTCCCGTGCACGTGGAGTACGTGCGGTGATACAGCGCGTATCCAGTCAGCTGTCCATCTACTTCTGCTACTTTGCAACCGAAGGCGCCCGGACGACACTCGAACCCGTCACGAATCAGATCTAAACCAGTTGTGTAAAAAACGGACAAACTAGAGTTTAGTAAGTTGTAATATAATATATATGTATCATCACTATCATCATTACAGCCCTTTACAAGTCCAATGTTGAACATAGGTCTCCCCCAAGGAATGCCACAAAGCACGGTCCTGAACCACCTGCATCCATCGACTTCTTGCGTGTCTTACCAGGTCGCCATTCCATCTAGTTGGGGGCCGCGCTACTCTTCGCCTGCCAGTACGAGGCTGCTACTCTATAACCTTTTTTCCCTATCGGTTATCGGTCCTTCGAGCTATATGGCCGGCCCATTGTGTCACTTCAGCTTACTAATCCGTTGGGCGATGTCGCTTACTTTGGTTCTACTGCGGATATCCTTATTCCTAAGTTTATCACGCAGAAAAACTCCGAGCATAGCCAGCCCTCTCCATAGTTCGCTGAGCGACTTTGAGCTTCCTCATATAGTCGGCAGTGAAGGTTTACGTCTCAGATAGTCATTGGTCATCACTGGCAACACGCACTGGTTGTACAATCTAGTATTGAGATTTTGAGGTATGCCTGACGAGAAGATTTGTCGTAATCTCTTGAACGCTGCCAGCCGAGTTGAATCCGTCGACTGACCTATCGTTCGAAGTTCGACTTACCTAGTCGGACTACTTGTCCCAGGTGAACATACTCGTCAACAATTTCAAGCTTAGTGCTTCCAACAACCATCGGCATAGGTGTGACATGGACCACTACAAATGCCTTTCGTTTTGTCCATGTCCATCTTAAGACCTATCCATTGGGAGATACTATTGAGGTCATTTTGCATAGTGTTCCTCCATCGATTCTGCCATAGGGACTACATTGTCGACAAATCGAAGATAAGTGATGTACTCGCCTTCGACGTTAATACCGTATCCTTTCCAGTCCAGTAGCTTGAAACGGTCTTCCAATGCAGTGGTGAAGAGTTTCGGGGATATTACGTAACCCTGTCCTACACCTCTATGCAGTTAGATAGGTTTCGTACTCTGGTTCTGTACTCGAATAACCATCCTAGCCCTACTGTACAAATACTTCAGCATTTAAATATATCGACAAACCACTTGGCACTGCTGAAGGGACTCTAGCACCGCCCGAATACCGACGAAATCAAAGGCTTTCTCATAATCCACATACGCAAGACAAATTGGCAGATTATACCTACTCTTCTGACTTCTGTACGATTTGCCGAAGGGTATGTATGTGGTCTATGGTATTAAAGCCTTTTCGGAAAGCACCTTGTTCAGGAGGCTGGAAGTCGTCGAGTCTGCATGCGAGACGATTCGTAATGACTCTCGAAAACAACACGTAGACGCGACTCAGAAGGGAAATCCGTCTGTAGTTCTTCAAGAGAGCGTTTTCGCCTTTCTTGAAGAACAAGACCATCGCACTTGTGCTCCACACCTCCGGAGTAGTGCCACCATGGAGGACGGAATTGAAGAGCTTCTGAAGGACTTTAAGTATCGGTTTTCCACCCGATTTCAGAAGCTCCGCTGTAATTCCATCCTTGCCCGGAGACTTACCGTTTTCAAGATGTTGGAGAGCCATTCTAATATTGCTCAGACTGACGTCCGGAATATCATCGGGGAATAGTGTCGGATGACACTTGCTCTTGCATCGTTACAAACATGCGTGTGGCTCCAACGAAACGTGTACAGCTGCCCATAGAACCTCGTACACGTACTTTGATAGGAAAATGGTATGAAATTATGTAAAAAGGTACTGCTTATTCCACAAAGAAATTTCTTCCAGCAAGCCGTGTGCACTTTATTAAAATATACACCACAATACAAATATACAAACCTCCTATATATATGGATATATATATATATATATATATATACAGTGTGTAAGTGTAAACACCGTTGTCACTGAAACCATAGGTAGTTGGCTTTAATATAAAAATATTTATCCGATTTTTTTAAAAAAAACGCTATTTTCTTTCATAAAATTAAAAAAGTTTCTGTCCGACGCCATCCGTAAATTCATGGATACCCTATGCGCTCGAGTGGCGTAATGACTATAAAGATCACTGCCCGCCCTTGCTACCTACACAACATTTCAATAAAAACACAATGGTACACATAACCTATGATGTAACTTTTCCTTCATACTTTCACACTGGCTTAGGAGAGATAAAAATTCCTACCCTTTGTGTTGCGTGACGTCATCATCATCATCATTACAGCCCTTCACAAGTCCACTGCTGAACATAGGCCTCCCCCAAGTAATGCCACAAAGCACGGTCCCGAGCCACCTGCATCCATCGACTTCATGCGTATCTTACCAGGTCGTCACTCCATCTAGTGGGGGGTCGCCCTACACTACGCCTACCGGTACGAGGCTGCCACTCGAGAACCTCTTCTTCGAGCTATATGGCCGGCCCATTGCCACTTCAGCTTACTAATCCGTTGGGCTATGCCGGTCACTCTGGTTTTACTGCGGATATCCTCATTTCCGAGTCTATCACGCAGAAAAACTCCGAGCATAGCCCTCTCCATAGCTCGCTGAGCGACCTTGAGCGTCCTCATACGGCCAGCAGTGAAGGACCACGTCTCAGATCCGTAAGTCATCACTGGCAACACGCACTGGTTGTACAATCTAGTTTTTAGAGATTGAGGTATACCTGACGAGAAGATAAGTCGTAATTTCCCGAACGCTGCCTAGCCGAGTTGAATCCGTCGATTGACCTCTCGGTCGAAGTTGGACTTACCTAGTCGGACTATTTGTCCCAGGTAAACGTACTCGTCAACAACTTCGAGCATAGTGCTCCCAACAACTACCGGCATAGGTGTGACATGGACATTAAACATAATCTTTGTTTTGTCCATGTTCATCTTAAGACCTATCCGTTGGGAGGAACTATTGAGGTCATTGAGCATAGTGCTTAAGTCCTCCAGCGATTCTGCCATAAGGACTGTATTGTCGGCAAATCGAAGGTGAGTGATGTACTCGCCATTGATGTTAATACCGTTCATCCTTTCCAGTCCAGTAGCTTGAAAACGTCTTCCAATGCAGCGGTGAAGAGTTTCGGGGATATAACGTCACCTTGTCTTACACCTCTCTGCAGTTGGATAGGTTTCGAGCTCTGGTTCTGTACTCGGATAGCCATCGTAGCCCTACTGTACAAACACTTCAGCACTTCGATATACCGACAGTCAACTTGGCACCGCTGAAGGGACTGTAGCACCGCCCAAATTTCGACGGAATTAAAGGCTTTCTCATAGTCCACATACGCCAGGCAAAGTGGCAGATTGTACTCTTCAGTCTTCTGCACAATCTGCCGCAGGGTATGTATGTGGTCTATGGTACTGAAGCCTTTCGGAAACCGGCTTGTTCGGGAGGCTGGAAGTCGTCGAGCCTGCGTGCGAGACGATTCGTAATGACTCTCGAAAACAGCACGTAGACGCGGCTCAGAAGGGAAATCGGTCTGTAGTTCTTCAAGAGAGCGTTGTCGCCTTTCTTAAAGAACAAGACCACCGCACTTCTGCTCCACGCCTCCGAAGTAGTGCCACCATGGAGGAAGGAATTGAAGAGCTTCTGAAGGACTTCAAGTACCGGTGTTCCACCCGCTTTCAGAAGCTCCGCTGTAATTCCATCCTCGCCTGGGGCCCTGCCGTTTTTAAGGTGCTGGAGAGCCATTCTAATCTCGCTTAGACTGACGTCCGGGATATCATCGGAATAGTGTCAGATAAGACTTGCTCTTGGATCGTTACTCACACTTGCGTGTGGCTCCAACGATGATGTGTACGGCTGCCCATAGAACCTCTCAATCTCACTCAAAATCTCAGGTGTCCCGGAAACGATGCTGCCACACTCAGTTTTCAGCTTTGATAGTTGGCTCTTACTGGCAGATAGATCTCTGGCAAAGACTTTGGAGCCCTGGTTCCGCTCGATCGCTTCTTTAATACGAGCAGTATTAAAGTTCCGTAAGTCTCGTCGCATGCATTTGGAGATCTGTCTGTTCAGTTGCCTGTATGCTGTCAAATCTGTTGACGATTGCAACCTCATCTCCCGTTTAACAGCCATGAGATTAAGAGTGTGATCGGAGAGTTTTTGTGTTCTTCTGCGGCGGGTCTTGCAGAACTTAGCTCCGACCGCATGGAAGGTTTCCACGGGCTTGTCATTGATATCGTCCACTGCATTGCAATCTTGTGGCACTGAAAGCGGTTAGCAGCTGAAAGTTTTCGGGATTCTGGATTAGAGCACGAGGGGGACGGAGCGTTGACTTCGTTAGACGAGACCTCTCCAACTTAACGTTTAGGTTCAGTGTGCCTCTAACCATTCGGTGATCGCTGCCAGTTTTCACCCTTGCGATCACTGAGACATCACTGAACAGTTGGCGTCTGGTCGTCATAATGAAGTCAATCTCATTTTTTGTCAAACCGTCGGGGCTCGACCAGGTCCACTTCCTGTGGGGCCGCTTCTGGAAGAAAGAGTTCATCATAAAGAGTCCCTCTTTCTCCATAAAGTCGGCCAGCTGCTGACCCCTTCGGTTCCGTTGCCCTACTCCAAAATTCCCTAACTTCAGCTCACCGCCTTCTCTTGTGCCTAGTTTTGCCTTGAAGTCTCCCATCAACACCGTGTAGTGGGTTTTGGAGGAATGCATGGCTTTGGAAATATCCTCATACATTTCCTCCACCTCCTCATCGGGATGTGCCGAGGTTGGTGCGTAAACCTGTATGACCTTCAGCGAATACCGTTTGGTGATTCTGAGTATCAGGTACGCGACCCTCGTCGACACACTCCCAATCTTTACAACGTTGTTGACGAGAGACTTGTGGACGATAAATCCGACACCTCCTTGGGACAGATGGTCGCCCTCCCGGTGATAGAACAAGTTGCCGGATTCGAGAATCACCGTGTCCTCACCCTCTCTTCGGACCTCGGATAATCCTATAATATTCCAGCGCAACTTGTCTATCTCTTCTTCCAGCTCCAGGATCTTCTCGTCAGTCCTCAGGGTGCGTGCGTTAAATTTTGCCAGGTCGAGTCGTCGTAGGTGGCAACCGAACCTCCACCGGAGATTATTAGCACCCCCTGCCGCCGTTACCATGGTCGCCACCGTAGCCAGGAATAGCGGGGCCGCCGGGGACTGGGGGCCGTCTATTTGCGTAATTGTTCATGGGGGGGGTATATGCCATAGTTGCCACGCTTGGCGAGCGGGTTGGCAACCGCAGTTTTTTTTTGTCGTACAGTTGCTGTTATCAGGAAGATGCTGCTGCCCATCTCCTGCCTGTTTCCCTCTGTCGCCTTTTACGACACCCACGGGAAGATATGGGGTAGTGGATATTTTTAACCGCCACTACACGGCCGTGTTGCGTGACGAGTCCAAATTAATTTAAGTTAGATTTAACAACAAAGAAAATTAAACATTAATAATAGTAAATCATTAGGTAGGATTTTTGGCGTATTTAAAAGGTTAATCAAAATGTTATGGACACACGGCTACACATTAAGTTATGCAAAACCAATGGGTAGCTCGCCGTCCAATCAAGGAACCGGGGTCCCGGGACTCTCTTAGCAGGATACCGCGGCCCTTGAACGCAAAGGGCATTTGAAGCATAAGCTGACCGTTCATTGTACGGAAAGATTATACAAAGCGAGGCCAAGACATACTGGTTTTGTATAGCTTGATTTGTAGCCTGATTTATTAATTATTTACACTTACCTATTAAATAAAATCCTCGTAAATGAATCCCATTTTGAACAAATTTAACATTAATCGTAAAAGCTAGAAGCACAACAGTGTCATTTCTCTAAACACACTAAGAATTCGCCTTTTGAGGTCGGACGTATTACGGAACTTAGATGCATACACTCGGCGCTTCACTTCTCCCCAAAGATAAAAGTCCAGCGGGGTAAGGTCGGGCGAACGCGCTGGCCACGTCACTGGCCCTCCACGTCCTATCCATCGCCCAGAAAACTCCTCAACCAGCATAGCCCTGATTTGCAGCTGAAAATGTGCAGGGGCACCGTCATGTTGGTAGTAGAGGTTTCTCAGTGAACGAAGAGGCACATTTCCACTGCACGTTTTGTGTAGAACATAATTACAAACTAAAACACACTTGCACAAAAGCTACAACTAGGTACCTAAAACACAAATAAGCGACGTAGAATGTCGGCACGGCGCGCGGCGCGGTTGTAAATCAAATTTACACGTGCATTCGCTACCGACGCAGCGATAGACTGACACACTGACACAATGACATTGGTCTTGACCGCGAATCGCTGCCGCTACGATATGTTGAGTTTTTTGTTGTGAATTCTGTATGTCCCTACTTGCCTAGGGTGAAATAATTGTAAGGAAAAATTGAGATTTGAGTTAAAAAAAATATTGTTATTTTCATTGAATTTACGTTCTATAAGTGAAATCAAACCACTGGTTTCAAGGATAACGGTGTTTACACTAACACCCTGTATATATATATATATATATATATATATATATATATATATATTACACATTAAACATATTATACACAATACAACGCATTATATACTTCGCTTTACTGCATAACCGAGCGCATAACCGGTTTCACATTATGTCGCTCGATTAGTTCACCCGCTTACTTATTATAAATTGTCAAAGTGCTTTGATTAGTAATTTTGTTACGCGCTTCTGAATTTATTTACTTTTGTGTAATTTGCATTGCTAAAAATGAGTGAAGTTAATAAAGAACGACTTAGAGACATTGTGAAAGCGCGTAGTATCATTAAAGCTAAGCTTACTCAGTTTTATAATTATTTAAACATCATAAAAAGTTGTGAGTCATTGAGTGACCTTCAAGTTAATGAATTAGAATGTCCTTTATGCAAAATAGAACCCTTACACAGTGATTTCGACTCCCCGCAGACTACAAGGCAATCTTATTTTAGAAAGGTCTTACCATTGTACCAGCAAAGATATTAGCAAGTCATTATTTATATAATTTTTACCAGCGACCGTATTTTATTTCATTTTATTTTGTTACGTCCATTTGTAAACACATATATATACAGGATGTTAGTGTATACACCGTTGTCCTTGAATATATAATAGTAAAATCTGAATATTTCCTTAATTCCTCAATTTTTGCCTGTCCTAAGCCAGGATGAAAGTATGAAGGAAAAGTTACATCACTGGTTATGTGTACCTATTGTGTTTTTATGTTTAATGTTGTGTAGGTAGCTAGCGCGGGCGGTGATCTTTACAGTCTCTCTTCTTTACAGTACTCGGGCGCATAGGGTATCCATGAATTTACGGACGGTGTCGGACAGAAACTTTTTAAATTTTATGAAAGAAAATAGCGTTTTTTTTTTTAAAATTCATTAAATTTACGTTCTATAAGTGAAAGCAAACCACTGGTTTCAAGGATAACGGTGTTTACACTAACACCCTGTATACACACACACACACACACACACACACACACACATATATACATATATATATATATATATATATATATATATATATATATAACGTATTAAAAGAAAAAATATAATTCAATATATTATAGTTTTAATGTTAGATATATGAATATCTACACATCACGAATTAATAATTATGGTGTAAATGATAACGCTCTTTAACAAGTCTTTTAAACATAGCTACACCGACTTAGCGTCACGAATCCTAAAGAGAAGTGAATTCCACAATCGTACTGCGTTAACAGTAAAAGAATGAGAATAGAGCATTGTATTGAAAGACGGAAATCTCAAGTGTTCTAGTATTTGATCTACATAAAACATCTGGATGATGAACAAAAGTAAAGTTATTTTTTAGATATAGCAGAGTATCAGAATTATGTAGAATATTGAAAAGAAGACAGAGAATTCGAGTGTTCCGGCGAAGGCGGATGGAGTGCGATAAACAGAGACGTGATCGAATTTCTTTAAGCCAAAAATGTATCGAATACATATATATACAGGATGTTAGTGTATACACCGTTGTCCTTGAATATATAATAGTAAAATCTGAATATTTCCTTAATTCCTCAATTTTTGCCTGTCCTAAGCCAGAATGAAAGTATGAAGGAAAAGTTACATCACTGGTTATGTGTACCTATTGTGTTTTTATGTTTAATGTTGTGTAGGTAGCCAGCGCGGGCGGTGATCTTCACAGTCTCTCTTCTTTACAGTACTCGGGCGCATAGGGTATCCATGAATTTACGGACGGTGTCGGACAGAAACTTTTTAAATTTTATGAAAGAAAATAGCGTTTTTTTTTAAATTCATTAAATTTACGTTCTATAAGTGAAATCAAACCACTGGTTTCAAGGATAACGGTGTTTACACTAACACCCTGTATACACACACACACACACACACACACACACACACACACACACACACACACATATATATATATATATATATATATATATATATATATATAGTATATATATATATATATAACGTATTAAAAGAAAAAAATATAATTCAATATATTATAGTTTTAATGTTAGATATATGAATATCCACACATCACGAATTAATAATTATGGTGTAAATGATAACGCTCTTTAACAAGTCTTTTAAACATAGCTACACCGACTTAGCGTCACGAATCCTAAAGAGAAGTGAATTCCACAATCGTACTGCGTTAACAGTAAAAGAATGAGAATAGAGCATTGTATTGAAAGACGGAAATCTCAAAGTGTTCTAGTATTTGATCTACATGAAACATCTGGAGGATGAACAAAAGTAAAGTGATTTTTTAGATATAGCAGAGTATCAGAATTATGTAGAATATTGAAAAGAAGACAGAGAATTCGAGTGTTCCGGCGAAGGCGGATGGAGTGCGATAAACAGAGACGTGACCGAATTTCTTTAAGCCAAAAATGTATCGAATACATAAATTTTTCTCAAGCGCTCGAGTTTATTAATTTGTTCTCGGTAGCATCCAAATAGCAGACATCAGCGTCATCAATCTAAAATTGGCAAGATAAGAGTCTGGACTATAGATATCTTAGTAGACAAAGGTAGAAAACTTTGAAGGCGTTTTAGAGAATGTAAGGCGTGAAATATTTTTCTGCTTACATCCGTAACATGTGGGCCCCAAGTCAAATTGCAGTCGAAAATAACACCTAGGTTCTTGGCAGTATCTGAGTAGGGAATAGTGGCACCATCGATTCGTAGAGTTTGGAGAGAGAAGAAATCAAGCGTGCCACGCGCATGTATTTACCTATTATCAAGGCTTGGGAAAAAAGCAAGGCTTGGGCAAGGGCTATTTGTTATTTTACAGTCACTTTGTCTTGCACTGCGTTCAGAATGTGAAATCATTTTATTCCTTTTATTTCATTTCTTAATTGTTAAGTATATGGTTTTGGATATCTTATGTAACTAAATCGTTGACTATTTGAGATATTAAGCCCCTAATTTATGAATTTCTTAGTAAGTATATCGGTTCTCTTACCTGACGCACTCAGTCTCGCGTCGCCGGTTAAATTTTCAAAGACGGCAAGTTCCTAGAATCAATAAATCATTATAATTAAATTTTAGTTTTATTCGGGCGAAGTCATACAGAGGGACCAGACAGAGTGTTACATATTTTTTAAACGATACCCCAAACTCGAATTTTCTCCTGTATCTTTGAGTTAGTTTAGAAATATTAATTGCAAGAGGTACAATTTCAGTAAAACCCAATTACTGATTTTGGCCTGTTTACGACCAATGACTAATTTTTTTGGGTTAAATACTAAAATTTAATACGTATACTATTATTCATGGAATTCAGCGCCTTATTACTGAGAACTGTGGTATGGTCAAAAATTGTATAATCTGTATTTTCCAACAATATATTGAACATGAAAGTAACGACAGTGATAATAAAAATAATAATGATTTCTTATATTTACACGAACACTATACATGATTAAAACTACTTTTACAGATTTTATCGCGTTTATTTTTACTTTTTATTTACTTTTATTTTGGATTCCCGACGTTTGGGGCGCTTTCCAGCACCCATGGCCAGTCCCCCGTGACCATGAGTGCTGGAAAGCGCTCGAAACGTCGGGAATCCAAAATAAAAGTAAATAAAAAGTAAAAATAAACGCGATAAAATCCGTAAAAGTAGTTTTAATCAAATAAAAATAATGTTTAAATTGTCTAAAGGCGACGTAAGAGCATCCAACACCCCACAACATCCTGTGGATGTCTGAGGCAACATACAGAAACGGAACAGGAGACGAGCTACAGCGTTTTGATCATTATAAGCTTTTGAGTGGCCAACTTACAAACTAGAAGATTTACTTACATAAAAAAATTCACCCTTATGAAAAGAAACTTTATATCTTATTTAATAAAACATAGTCAAAATTATTTCTTAAATTTACTCGAAATTGGTTTTTAACATTTTACTCACTTTATGCTTTGAATTTTAACTATTGTAACTATGAGATCTTTTCTCAAATGGGACCACCGTCTTAAGTATATTACGTACGTTTTAAGTATATGAACATAAAGATCTGAAAAATTAATTACCTGAGACCAGCGTAGTAAAATAAAATGATGTGTTTACCTTACCTAGTTTGAAGAGGTTAATTTTCAAACACCATTTTTTTACTACGCAGATCTTGGATAGTAAATTTTTAACATCTGTTATTTAATGGATTTCCACAAACTAACGCCTGATTTTATTAATTATATACACGTAACTGGGACAACAGACTTTCATGCAAATTAATTCCGAATTTAACAAAATTATGAAATTGTCTTTTGCACTTCCATAAGTTGTGATAACCCACAAGTTGATTCCCATAACCTTGGCCTACAAATGGTTACGGTGGGCATTTGTGTTTACGTCAAATACTCTATTAATACCCAAATACTCAAAGATATTCAAGAATAAACTGCCGCCTCGTTTAGAGCTATGCGGAGTTTTATCTATACATGTGAAGAAATTTGTTATTGCATAAAATTGAAGCGTGTGTTGGTGGTGTAAGAATGTCCACTACTGCATTTCATTTCATCCTGTGCGTGTCATGAGAGGAGACGGAGAGCAGTATACCGGGATGAGCAGCAGGGTCTTCCTAACAACAAATAAAAATAAATAATCTACAGTTATAATTTTTGTGTTTGTCCGTCAGTCTGTTTGGACTAATCTTCGGAAGATATGAATCAATTGTAACAAATAAAACAGAAGAGATAGAGAGCAATGCAAGGAATGATCTGGGCCATAGTCTAAAACATTTTTAAAATTCGATTTTTTTTTTAAATAAATGGTCTTTGATAATTACCATAATCTAAATAATGCCACATTATAAACACTCACGCACACGCAAACGCACACGCATACGCACACGCACATGCACTAGCGCACACACACACGCACTCACGTAACCACGCACCCACGCACGCACTCATGCAAGCGAGCAGGCACGCACTCACTTTTGCACTCATGCAAGCACTTACACAAGCGAGCACGTACTCACGAATGCAGGCACAAATGCACGTACCTTTGCACTCATGCACGCACTTACGCACGCATGAATGCAGACACGCAAGCACGCACGCACGCTCGCAAGCACGCACGTACGCACGCACGAACGCAGGCACGTTCGCATGCACTCACGCGCGCACACAAACACGCAGGTACGCAGGAGCGCACTCACGCATGCACGTACTCACACACGCACGCATGCATCTGATTGGCCATCTGGCACATCTGCCAGATGGCTTCACATGTGCCAGATGGTCAATCAGAACTGCTTCTTCTTCATCATAAGCCCGTAATAGCTCGCTGTTGAACATGAACCTTCCCCGTTTTAGGGTTGACGATCGCACTATAGATTTTTGGCTCACAAAGGCGAACGAGTCTTACTCGTAGTTGTGATGTGTAAGTGGAGTTAAATAAAACACTACCCCAGTAGGGTACCACCACCCCTGATGACGGAGATCCCTCGCTGAGCATCGACACCCAAGCTACCGTATTCTTCCTGAGCGTGGGTGCTCAGACTGCTCCGCGTATTCTGGGGGAGGGGGCGGGTCAAAATTCCACTCAAGGCAAAACCTGTTCGGGTAAGCGGAGCAATAAGATGAAGGCAATCCCCTGCCACGATATCCGTGAATTTATGCTATATAAGGGGACCTCATTCAAACCTTAACGCCGTCCACTACCATCTAGAGGCCTTGATCTTTCTAACTGAAACACAGATGTCCTCTCCGGCTAATACTTTGTATCTCTTTTACCCGTCGTACAAATTAGAACACTTCTATGTGTCCTGGGCCGGTTTACGTATACATCAGAGATGACATATGTTTTCGACGCTTCGGCAGCCTTGAAGATACGAACCTGTCAACCATCCTATGGCTGCGCGTAGACAGCAACGACCATTCCCGCGTCTACGTGTGCCTCTAGAAGTCCCATAACGGTAATGGCAACACAGACCAACTCATCGACCACGTCCAAAAGGCTGCAGATTCCGTGCTACAACAGGGCCCATCTGGATAAATCGTAATCCTCGGTGATTTTAACGCCCACCACGTTGAATGGCTTGGTTCCCGTTTAACCGATCATGCGGGTAGATTAGTTTATATATAGAATACCTTTGCATATGGTGCGACATAGCTGGTACCTTCACCTACGCGGATCCCAGATGTGGAGAACCATGTACTTTCCCTGTAGGGACTTTTGCTGACCTCTCATCCGGACGGATATCAGATTGTTTCTCTTGGTTCTTCGGACCGTCGTCTGATCTGGAGTACGGTGCCACTCACGCTCCCATCACAGTTGCGTTCTGCAGAATGCTGCCGTGTTTGGTACTATAGGTCGGCCGATTGGGACAGGATGCGGTCTTTTTTGCAAACTACCCTTGGGTTTGCTTCTTGCCGAATGATCCAAACTTTGTTGCTGATTCTGTCGCTGATGTGGTACTTCAGGGAATGGAACTATTTATTACATTATTTGTGTTGCCTATCGAAAGCAGAATTCAGCTATGGTTTGGTCACTCCTGTAAAATTGCATCACGACATAAGCAGGAGTGCTATCAGGACTGGGCTGACGTTTCAACGTCTCAGAAGTAAATTCCGCCTTCAGGTGTGAGTGCTTCATGCTTGTACGGTGCAACCTCATACACTTATTTTTATTGTTCATCGAATCAGTTCACATAGCATCGCCACACAGCGCGTTCATGTACTCATCTACTAGCAGTACTTAGCTATTAGCAGTTTTTAAATATATTTTATATTCGGTCGCGAGTGACCTAATTTGAATTGCGAAAGCGGTACGCGCCACGTAAGTCAAACAGCAGCAGCATTGGTAAGTCTACAGCTCTCTATTATAATCAACAACTACAGTAATTGTTCAAAATGAAAGATCTTCTAGCTAGCCAAAACCAAATAATGGAAACTATGGATCAGCTCCTAATCAACTTTAAAAAAGACGGTGCCGACCGCAAGACACCGGCTCATATTAAAAAGCGACTTAGCACTTTAGAAAGCTATTGGCAGGAGTTTCAAGTAATCATTTAAAGATTTTTGAGTCTGACGATAAATCTCATGAATATTTTACTGGCAATTACAATAAAAGAACCGATTTTTATAACGAAACGCGCAATTATATTCTTAATTATTTACCGAGTGACTCTACAGAAAAAAGCCTTCTCAGGCCAGCTACGCCATTGCAAAAGCCAGGCTTTTCAGCTATACCATCTGCAAGCGCACTCCGTCCTGAAACTACAGCTAACGCAGAAGCACCCCGAACCCAAGGTACTAGCAGCAACTTAGAGGATATGTTGAGAAAGCAGAAAAGCAACTTCAAAGCTTTTCAGCGAACTATTAGCAGCATCGATCTCGACAAAGTCTCTGAAAAATGGGAGTATGAGGATATTCTGAAGTCGGTTCAGGCACGCTAGACGATAATAGACGCCTTGCATTGGGAAATAGACAGCGAACTGTACGAAGATAATGAAAGAGTATGAAGAAATGTTCAGCAGCTATGAGCAAAAATTCAATAACATGAAAAAAGTTATCAACAGCAAGATGTGGTCTGATCTTTACCGGGAGAAGACAACCCCAAAAATGGACATCCCCATGTTCAGTGGGAGCTACCACCAGTGGTTGTCGTTTAAATACTTGTTCGTCGAAGCTATACATAGCAATAGAGCCTTATCAAACTGTCAGAAAATGCAATTTCTGAAAAGTAAATTAAAAGGGGAAGCAGAGAAAATAGTGCAACATTCACAGATAAGCACAGATAACTATAAAGTATGTTGGGATCTTTTAAACCACATGTATAATAACACAAAGCTTATTTTTAATTCTCACATGAGTGTCTTAGTGAACCAACCTACTATACAACAGCAGTCAGCGTCAGCAATGAATGTCTAAATGCCATCAAAAATCTGGAAGTCAACATAGAGAATTGGGAATTGGGACATGATTGTTTACTTAATTACTCAGAAATTAGACGCGGACACACATAACGACTACATCGAGTCATTGAAACACCCAAGAGATTTACTGA